GACCAATCCCAGCATACAAAGGGATTAGATGACATTCGACCAATCCCAGCATACAAAGGGATTAGATGACATTCGACAACTATAATATTTGAGCATTCATGATAGGATTTACCAATATCAATGGTGACGGTTTCGGCCGCCATTTTGTTCCGGTAGGCAAAGTGTCGCAAAATAAGAAGGAATGACCGGGAAATCGATGTCAAATAATTCTCGCTGAAATCAAATTCCGAAAGAATTATCAATTGCAAACGTTAGATACTGCAAAAAGGAGTTAACGGGCAAAATTTGAAAGGCGTACTTGATCTAGAGAGCGAGTAAACTCATTTTTAGTTCTCCATACATTTCTTTGTATTTTTCACGCGCGTCACGCACTGATGACCCCGGAAATGATAACGAAATGTATTGAATTTACAACGTATCTAACGTTTGCAATTGATAATTCTTTCTGAATTTGAATTCAGCGAGAATTATTTGACATCGATTTCYYDGTYATTCCTTGWTATTTTGYRACACTTTGCCTACCGGAACAAAATGGCGGCCGAAACCGTCACCTCATCTAAAATAGGAAGTCCGCGCACGATCTAAGAGCTTTTGACATCATTTATATCTTGCTAAAACAATGAAATATGGCATACCTACTTGACGAATAGTGCAGACGTTTTGGGAGATCTTCTTTGGCAAATACACGAAGATAGCGAGATTTACACTATATAAACGATAAGAAATGTTATAAAGCTTACTGAATACCTGCTCACTTACAAACTGTCGTTGAAATCGTGATAAGCGCCAATTGGTTTCTCCTTTTAAATAAAGTGAACCTGGAGTGAAACGATAAAACCGCTGTACAAAAGTGCTTAAAAAATCAAATATTCTGGCACATACCTGGATTCGGGAAAGAATTTCACTTTTATTCACTGTGGACGCACAAGGATGATGATGTAAATTCAAGTGATGCTTCAAACTGACAGGTCATACTTACAAGAGCCACGAGGATTCAAAGACATAAATGCGCCACCATAATACTGTGACGTCATGATGTCATTTAGTGTCACTCCATACTATATATGAATCAATAAAACATTATTTGCACCTACATTAGGGCCGGTTGAATCTACAACATGAACATAAGGTTATGCGTATAGTTTTTAGCTTGAACAGAAACATAATGAAATGGAAAAGTGTTCACTTTCTTATTAGTTCTTCTTCTGCAGTGGCGGATCTAGAACGTTCCAAAGGCCGGGGTGGGGTGGTGTGTGGCTAACTCAAGACAAAATATTAAATGTTAGCGAATTCGTATTTTCACAGCGATCGTACATTCAAAGGTAGCCCATGACTGTATATTGAATGTTTACCATAGAAAAGAAAAGTGACGTAATACGTATTTCACGGGTTTGGAAAACCCAGTGGCGCTCTGAGTTAATGAATCCACTAACCTGATCTAGGTATGTTACTTGTTTACGTTTACAGTCCGTTGCGGCCATTCCTGTATGTGAAATACAAAGCATTTAGTGCAAATCACAGGTGCGCCTTTAGAGGAGTCCTCACAGGTTGCCTGTGACTGCCTTTCAAAGCAAAATTAATTCAAAGTAATTACTACAATAGAAATCTGACCGTTATGATCACATTGTGGAAAATTATTAGTTTTCTCGTTTTTTTCATATTTATTTAGTTTTTCAGTAAAACAATAGATTGCTATGATGTCAGGCGTAAATTGTGTATGACGTATCCTGGATACGCCCCTGCATACTCACCATGATCTGACAGCATAATAACATTTACTTTATCCATGAGTGACCTTTTCCTTAATCCTTCATACAATCTCCCTATCATACGATCCACTAATCGCGTACTGTTCTTAACCTGTTGGTTGCAGCAAAAGAAATTCTATAACTACTGATGACTTCAATTACAAAAACATAGATAACGACCTCCTCAGTTTGACAGTAAATAACGCGGGAATGTATTTTTTCAGTCAGAACTTCCATACAGACGTCATTGGTTGAAAACACTACAATGCGAGTTACCCTCCTCGGATCCCTCCTAGACGTACAGCAAACACGCATTGCTTTGATGCACTACTAAAAATGAATTGTGGGATTTTATCTTGTTTGGAAAAATGTGTAATGGAAAATGTTTTTTATAAAAATGTATAATATAAATGTATAATACCAAGCATTTCGCGACAACAGGAAAAATAGTTTATCAGAAACGTTACACTTCTTGTAAGTCGAAACATGCGGCAAAATGCTCTTGATTGGATCTGAAAACTCAAACAACACACAACTCCTACACTTCGTGTTGCTGCCATTTCCCCTATTATCTATCATATCATCAGTTATGGAATTTACTGTTTGAGAAATTAATGGCGGGTTCTTAGTCATTAAATTCTGTATTAATATTTCCTGGTAATTTTAGACGGTACTTGTTCAGATTCAGGTCCATTAATATGTCCTGCTTTGTCTGGCTGGTGAAAGTATAAAGTGATGAAATCAGGTCTTCTGTTAACGAAGCAAACGCACCAAATTAATCAATAAATTAGGACAGACTAGAATTAATAAGACAAATTTACCTTCTCCCGTCGTCATGTTCAGGGTCTACTTGACTTCCTTGTCTTGGCAAGTCAAGCCAACTTAAAACTGTGTCCACACGTGTTTCAAATGGATGACTCCTGGTGACATCACAAAATACATAAATGAGGCTCGCGCAGGATTGACAACTGGATTCATGAATAATTAATGATGAATATTGAAGCTGCAGTGCGTCTTTGATTTCCAATTTAATTTAAGGTAATACACTTCTAACAGGACAATGTTTTCTTTCTATTTTTCTTTTCAATAATGGTAACATCAGGTGTCGTGTTAGATGGGAATAAGCTAAAACTGAGAACTTTGCAAGCGTTGGGCTGCCTCAATGGTGGCGACCGTGTTGTAAATACAAGACTAGTGTGGCATCAGATTTACAAGGTCAATCACCTGACCAAATAGACAGCCCTTAATAGTATATGTTTAATAAACATATAGACTTACTGGTTATAAATGAACGTAAAATTCGGCAACATACCTGAATATTTTAAACATATATGTCATTAAAAAAATGAAGTTGATTGTTGGAAACACTCTGCTATGTAACCCGAGTACACGCTCTCAAAGCGCGTAGTCACCGTATACCACCATTATTCATTGTCATAGAAAAAGAGGACATTCGTAATGTAGTAAAAAGGAATAAATTGAAATATACAAAAGAAGATAAAACACACTTCTGCAATAATTTGTATTCCTGAAATACATAATTTCTCACTTCCGAAAACTTGATTCTCAGCCTTTATAAACAATCACCATATTGATTTACCGTAGCAGCAAACATTTAACAATTAGATATCGAGGGCGAGCTTCGGCCTCATGGGCTATCAGCTCGTAGTCCACGAGGACGAGAGATCTAATTGTTTTAGTATTACCATACTAGTTGGACAAAAAATGAATGAAATATATAAATAACAAAGTGTTTTTATTGCTAAAAATACGCAAAAAGTTGTCGCTTTTCGCTAGTCGAGGACTATTGAAAATAGACCCCGAGTAGCCAATCAGAACGAAGGATTTGCAATAGTCCAGTAGTATGGTAATACTAATACTAAGTAGCCCCGATCTCATCCTTGGCCTTATTACATGAACTGGAATGAAATACCAGATTCTCTCGCGCGAAGAAGTGAAAATATCCTTTCAACCATATATTCTTACACATCATTTTTCACTAAAAAACGGAGATAATCATCATCTTAATAATCACCATTTAACTCCCTTTTTATCTGTTACTAACCACCATTTGCAAACAAACGTAGCTATGGATACCTTCAATTGGGATTTCAGAGCCAACAAAAAAGTAAGATGCTGTCACTAAGTCATTCTTCATCGCTGCCTGCCACAGCTGAATAAAATAACAACAATAATAAAACAATAAATACGTCCATTGCGTCGTCCCTCTATCCTATGCTCCGTTCTATATCAAACCCTGTGAGACGGCGTGACAAGCGAGGACTTCAAAGAGAGAGAATGATAGTAGGATTTGATGCTAATCGACCGTGAATAAGTTGCACACTGTTACTCACTGGTTCGCCTTTCCACCACTTAGGATCAAAGGAGGTCGGTTTACCAATACCAAATGCTTCTTTCAGCTTAGGGTCATAGAAACTATTTGATACGATACCGTGATGGACTGGGTATAGTCCCTGAAAGGACAAATCATAGTTTTACTATAAATCCAAAATTAATACAACTCGAAAAAACAAAAAAACGACTTGACTTTGATTCTACAAAAAAAAAACACCGCCATTTTGCTTAGCTTGGTTTGTCGGTAACGGCAGCGTGTCACGTGACAGCGATCACGAGAGCGCAGAGTCAAATACCCACACGTAGTAGGCACTTGTGATGCCAAATTTTCACAATTTTGGGTATTTTTTTACATACATTTTTGTATTCAAAAATCATCAAAAACCTCTATTTTTGCTCGGTTTAGTTTAGCGCTAATTCATACGAGTCACTGGAAAACGTTCAAGGAAAAAAAAGGCAAAACACTTCTCGCGCGGATTTATACGTACTTGCCAAAATGGTCTCAACTGATTTGATTACGGCTTTTCCATAGATACATAAAAATAACCATAAAATTTGTTACAATAGTCTGTACGAACTGAAGAATATCTCTTCTTTTGACCTTGCGCAATACTTTGTGGTATTTTCCTTAAAGATCGAAATGACAACCTATGAAAACAATTAAATTTCACTAACGGTACTTACAGTCACAATAGAGTAATGATTAGGGAAGGTTTTCGTAGGAAATTGAGAAATAAGAAACCGAGCTCGGACACCTTCTTTAGCTGAAATAAAACAAAAGTAATAACCTAAGTTTATGAAGTGGTTTTGCATCACAAATTGTTTGCTTGCTTACCTAACTTTTGGATATTTGGCGCAAATCCTTTATCAATGTACGTATCTTTAAAGCCATCCATTGAGATTAAAATAACAGGGAATTCTGGTCCTCTGAAAAAAAGGATGACATTATGTAACGTACAGTCTCATCAGTAGTTCTACTGGATTACTAAAGGTATTTCAATGCAGTGCCTTTGTCTTTTCTAAACTTGTACGTTTAATCTTCTTTCATATTTGGATTGGACAATCTTGTAAAACATGAAATAGATGTAATATCAATATTATTTCCACTTCATGTTTCTCATAGTGCAACGCCGTCCAGATATTCATATCTTTATATTTTCATTACCGCAACCTTACATCTGTTTCCAGTCTGACCTTGTAGCTCAGATGCAGTACAGTACAAATTCGAGGTTCGTGGGTTCAAATCCTAGCGAGGTCGGAAATTATTTTTTCCTAATTTATTTGCAAGTGTCTTTCCTCTGAATAACCTCCTACTGGTTTCCTGTCAATACCCATTGTACTTTTACCTTGCATTATTTGAACCTAAACACAAAAAATAAACAACATTTTAACCAAGTAAATGCGACACCCTAAAAATGAAAGTTTGGCGGTCGTTGATGGCATAACGATTATACAGATGCGCAAATGATCCAAAATCAGCACAAAAATCATCGCTAATCTGCGTCTGCATATTCAATTACAACTATTTGCAATTTTGACATTATCACTGTACAGAAAAGACATAAAGATACACAGATCAGTCCAAAAATAGTTAACATTGGGGCAAAATTTGAAAGGAAACATTAAAACCACCGCGATAATTTTGATTTCATATACCTGACTTTAATGAGCCAACAACTGACGCATGCGCACACAAAACTCCATCATCATGCTCCAGCTAGTTACAGAAGCAGAGCAAATATCGATATTGCTGCATAATTACAATGCTTTTTTCAACCAGTACTGTGAGTACGGTAATAAGCGGCTTTAATTAACCTGTGAAATCAACAATTCAGTCCTAGGCTGACCCAGTTCAACGGTTTCTTTTGTTTAATTTTCCCTATAGGTGACCCGGCAAAACGAAGGAAATTAGCCCGGGTCAGCCCGCTTCATATAATCAGGTCTTTTCACAAATTCCCTTTCCCCTTTCCCTTTATTTTTTCTCGATTCTCGAAATTTCCTTTATTTTGTGTGAGTCCAAAGAGAGCCTGACTTGGAAAGTCTAGGGTCTATGCCGAAAATCACTAAAAGTTTGAAAATTAAACATGTCAAAACGAGGCTACCGAATTTTTGGCTGACACACAATATATATACTTATACTTATTATACTTATTATACTTATTACCGTGTCCAGGCCTCCGGCACGGTTATAAACTGCAGCGACTTTATTTGTTTTTTTTTACGTCGCAGTTTAGCAATCGCATGAGGGACCTATAATCCAGAGTTCCAAGGTTAGACCTCGACTCGAGCACATCTGAAAAATTCTTTCTATAAATAAATAAATAAAGTCTTTTATTTTGAGAGGGTAGCACGTAATAGTCTCTAGACTAATAAACTTGTGGCCCTCTATATATTCACTCACACTCACTACCTCAACATTCATTATTTTACTACACGACACTCCTCACAGCTAGTTTTTGACTGAGGGAGGAAAACCAGCGGACCTGGAGAAAAACCCTCGGAGCAAGGAAGAGAACCAGCCTACAAACTCAAATCACATATAGTCCCGGACCGGGAATCGAACCAGGACCACAGCGGTGATAGACCGGCGTTTTAACCGCTCGGCCATCCTTGCTCCCCTTTTTTTTCTTTTTACTTTCTTTCTTTTTTAACTGAAATATAGGTGTTCTACTGGTCATTTTCATCGTAGCAATTTGTTATATGAATATTTACCAGCCGCGTTTGTTAAATTTTAGAAACAACTATCGCGTCACGTGGTCGACTTTCGACCAATGAATGTGGAGGAAAATCTATTGTTAAATTATACTGTGATAGTAAAAAGGACTAGCTGTTTGGTCACGCGCGTTTGTTCACTCGTGGGTGACATTGAGAATTTGGACAGGAGACTGGTAACGAGTATGAAAACAGACGACTTTTTAAAATAATAAAATATAGTATAATATAGTGCTGCCTTTCATGTGGTGAGGTTCAGTTTTCGATAAAATATCGAAAACTGAACCTCGCCACATGAAAGGCAGCACTATGATTAGTGTTATTTTCAAGTTTGAGCCTATTTAGCTAAGTATCAAATTTTTACCAACAACAAAACAATAGGAGAGAATAAGTTTGAGCTCTAAGGCTCTAAACATTCTTTCATATTTTTCAGAATTTTAAAAGCTTGCCACTCTATAATCATTCATCCAAATAAGTTACATCTCCGAAACTATAACAATTTTAGTATGCTCTTTCTTAAACTTGTCATGGAATGTGGTTTGCCAACAATGGAAAAACTTGATTTGTGTCGATTGGAACGATTCGGGCGATTATGGACACTACTAAGCCTTAGATCCTTAAAAGTTTTGCCCCAAGCTAAAGGTTGTGACTTTTGTACAAATCAAAGTCCAATTCCATTGATTGATTTACCTCTGACAGCTGACTGTTTCTTTGTAACAAGAACAGCAACGAGAACGGCAGCAATGATCAAAATCACCAATACAGCCAGCACAGCCTACAATTACACGATGGTATCAGGTGCTAGTTTTATGTATATTAGATTTGTACAAAATGAAAATAGTCCGATGAGAAAATCTTTGGGTACTGTTTCCCAATTTGTTTACATTTCAATGCAAATTTATGCAAATTTCTTGCTATCAAGCGAACCAAAACTTACCCCAAGACATATCTTGCGTCTCTTGTCATGAAGAAGCTGAATAGCCACAGACAAGAAATACTATTAAAACTTATGTAAGGACCAAAGACTCGTTTTCCGACCTACTACAGCTCGACAGGAAAGTGAAATGCTTCGACGATTGTTTAGAAGTGCTAATACTCAGCAGAATTAAACATCAACCTCATGCGACTTACCGGACGCTGAATTCGTACTTTAAATTGACGGTGTTCGTCTGCAGGCTCTAGGACTAACATAGAAGATTGCTTCCCCATAGTTTGCTTTAGTTCTCGTGGTGACCTATGGCATGGTGTAACACAAAACCACGATTAACACTTACAATGATGTCATATCCGCCTTGCATAATAATCCATGTTATGGCTAACGTATTTTGACATTATTATCCATTGACAAATTGAAAATGATATTACTGTAATTTAGTAATTGAAAATAAATGATTATCGGCATTGATAAGAATTGATACTCGCTCAAATATTGTCAGTTATAAATTGTTGTAAACTGTCAGATTTTCTATGTCTTTGTACTCTTTTTGTGTAACAGTATAAAGTCAATATTACTAGTAAGAGCACGCGTACTCCAACTTGACGAAATACTCAATGGAAAAAGCTTACCATCTTAGAATCTGCAATACATGTTTTTTCCTCTCCTCTGCCCACCACCGCCACCCCCTTTCGTCCCCCTCAATCTCTCCCCTAGAGAGGAAAAAAACAACAACAAACAAACAAAAAATGACAAAACACAAAACAAACAAAGTGAAAAATGTGGGTTCTCCCAAAACACTACATATGCCATGTTATATGCTCCGAATAGATCTGCTTATTGTATAAAAACGTTTGTTTATTAGGTTTTATGAAATTTAGTGTTTTCACATTTCTATCAGATAAAGTGTTTGCTGATTGATTTTTCGCTCTATTTACGACTTTCAAAAATGGCGCGAGATCTCAAGGTCGCTGACCAAGGCACTGAGGACGACGCACTTAAACGAGGTCCCGAAGGCCAGTCTCCGTAATGTAAACTTCCATGGGGTTTTGCAAGGTTGTCTCGTCATAAATAACATACAAATAAATCTTTCAAAGTTTGACGTTGCCATAGATTCGATCTTCCATGATTCGTCACTAGTCCCCCGATATTGATGATATTGACTACCGTCATTTTTGGAAGTCTTGTATATTTTGCGTGATGTGAAAAAGCCATCCATCATCATAAAAACACGCAGCTGAGATCAGCTGAGCTTGGTATCGGCCAGGGATACCATTTTGTAATTGAAAAGCGAGAAGAGAAGCCCTAGCCGATGAGGTTGCGGTGTTCTATTGTTTTTTAACCCTAGCTTAGCATTTGACTATAGATGATTTAGCAATATCTACAATGCATGTAAATTCTATATTTTTGAGTACAAAACACAAAAAATCCTTGTGGTGTATTTCAGCCACGAATAAATTCTTGTTGTGCCGTTTTCCTCCCGTAATCATATACCACTGCTAAATTTCAGAATAGAGGTGTTTAAAAAAAGGCAAAACACAAGGTATTTCCCGTCCCGAAAGTTCAAAAAGGGACTGCTGACCAGTGGCAAACTCCATACCGTTTGAAGCAATCAAAAAACAGACAACAGGACAAGAACGACCATACTAAAAATAGTAAAGCTGCTGAGTTTGAGAGTATTCAGATTAATAATTACAGAGTTTCAAGCGTTTAAAACTCGAAAAATTACAAAGAATGTATGGAGGTTTTGAGCAGCGTCCCAAAAACCATACATTCTCTCTTATTTTTACAAATTTGAAAAAAATCCTACTCGGTGAGTATTCAACCAAATATGCTCATACTTGAGAAGAACCCTTATTTTAGTGTGTTCTTTCATGTGGTGAGGTTTACTTTTCGACTAATGCAATATTTTCACACTCGTTCCCAGTCTCCTTTTGAATTTCGGAATGGCCAATTGAATCATTAACTGGTCTTAACTGATCGAATTATCACAAAATGTAATAAAGACCCACACAAAATATAATAGTTGTTTTAATTATAACAAAATTACAGCTACTTTTTGCCTTATGTTACATACATCTTCTAGTGACGAAATCAATCTTGTGCGGTCTATATCAAACGGTGGAGATTTTCTAATTAGAAGGAAAACACAATATAATTAGTAGGATATCAGCGAATAAAATTTGAACATGAGTTATTTTGAATCAGAATAACACCAACATGAAATGCCGTCTCCTTTAAAGTCGTACGCAAGACATTCATTTAGATTACGCCTTTGCAATCGTTCAAAGTCAATATGCAGGTACTTTTTGGGAAATAAATGGTGGACAAACATCGATTACGGACAATTTACCTTATTCCATTGAGTGTGATATGTGAAGTTTGAATGACCATAAATCAACAATGCCAGATCATGAAAATTACGTTCCATAGCTATTGACAGAGCAGTGCTTCCCTCCTGTAATACAAATATAGAACAATAAGTACAAAAACCCTTACATGGCGACCTAGATCGTGTTCTGAAGTTCGCTTGTCGGGTTTTTGAGTTTTGTGTGGAGAAATCTTTCATGAAAACACTCATCCAGATATCTTTATATGCCCCATTGAAAAAAGTTAATAAAATCATCAAAACATTTCGTAAGCCGCAGAAAATAAGTGCTTTATTCACTGCTTTATCCCATCAGTGGTTAAGTGTTGAAGTGCAATTTTCAAATGGCATCGAGACCATAAAAAGCCCAAAATCCCAACGAAACTCAAAACACGAGATCACTTCTACACTTACATTGTCTTGCACGCTGGAGTTACAGTTTGGACTGGCTAACAGTATTCGTGCAACATCTGTGCGTCCATGTTCACAGGCACACATCAACGCTGTCGAACATTCCTGAAACATAACCAGTATATAGTTTTGTGGTGATGTCTATATAAACGAAGGTCGATTGTACTTATAAAACCAAGCTGCGAGCGTGTATAAAGACTTTCTTACGTCATCTTGGGCATTAATATCTGCATCAGYTTCAAGCAATAGTTCCACCATGTCCACCTTCCCGCAAGACACGGCCAGCATCAACGGTGTTTGCCCAGTCTCTTCGACTTTTTTGTTGACGTCACCCATATCTAAAAGTCTTCGTGCAATGTCTTTGACTCCTTCTCTTTGTAATCCTGTCAGCGAAGCTAACATCACTGCGGTATAACCAGCCTACGTTGTCATAGTAATACATTTAATTTTTGTCAGAAGCTTTCCATTATAAAGTTTGTTTTTGATGTAATAGTTGATTTTTTGACAAATAAAAGAGAAATGATAACTGTTTAATGAACGCTAAACGAGTATATTAAAAGATCTAGTAAACGCGTCAAACCTGATTAAACAAATCCACGTTGATGCCATGAGTAGAAAGAAGGACGTCGACAACCTTCCAGTTGCCATAGGTGACGGCGTAATGGAGGGCGTTATTTCCCTATGAAAGATCATTAAAAAAA